ACTGTTGAAGAGCGAATGAAGTCTATTCAAAGCTTACTGGCACAGATTTATCACGATGATTCGTCACCAAATTCATTCAAGTGAGCGGTTACGTTGGATATGGCTAAGGAAATTGGTTGAATCATGTTCCTCATGTGCAAGCGGAATTTCCTCACAATTTCAAGCTTTCCATTTCAGAGATATGGCGGATAGCATGACGGAGTCTTTTCAGTCCGACATAAGTCATGTTTCACCTCATCGACTCACGTCAGAGATGCTGCAGACGTTCGGTAGTTCCTCGAATTTTCATTCAACCCTCTTGCTCTGCCTCTTGTACATTGCACACATTTCAACTCCTTTCTTCCCTGCGACCACAGATTCCAAGGGTGACGTAATCGTGGTTGCTAGAATCCAACCAGCCCCGCTTCCAGTCTCAGACTAGTTTTATCCAAGCCACTATCCGCTACTATTTTATAGGTAGAATCGCTTAGTATAAAGTACTCGTTATCCAGCCGCACAGGCTGTTCAACTGTCGCGGCTTGGAATAAAGAACTAAGGGGCCGATACCGTCATTCTCCATAGTAATCCCGCCTACCGGTTAGGAATTCAGCAAGAGATGGATGTTGCGTTCGTGGTTGCGAGGGACCGTCACGGCCATCTCGCCTTGCTTTTATACTCCTTCATGTTTGGCTCTGGCCTTTCCACCATACTCACAGTAAGCTTGTGAAGCTTGCTTCTTTGCGAGTTCATCTTCAAAAGAAACCGAGAAAAGTGGAATTGTGGCGTTTTCTACGATTTTGTCTGCTTCTTTTTTCCTTACAGTTAAGACCATGATAAGTCACAGTTAATAAGTGAAGGTAATTGCAGATCAACCTCAGTTAATAAAAGAAATCACTGTGTTGATGAGAGAAATTGAGCGTGCTAACCAACGACTTGTCAAAATGGTCCGACAGCGATCGTATTACAAGGCAAAGCAGGCCACAAAATGTGCCATTGTTAGTGCGATTTTGATGGCGAACTCTTCGAAAACCAGTAAGCTTTTGCATTTTGGGAGAACTCTATGACTGTAACCAATTTGGTCGCACAGTGTTCAGGTGCGGATTCGAAACTGCGGTTCAGTCTTAAACCGCCATCGACTCGCGAAGGAGTAGAGGAGTGGAAGAGAGCTATGCGAGTAATGGCTCGTATGCCTGGCGGACTGCCAAGTCTCATCAGATGCAAGGCTAGTTTTGGTCGCCTTCTCATGCGCATCACCAAGTATAACATAACCAGTCGGCTTCGCCGGCTGACGCCGGCGCGCCTCTTTCTGAGATACAGCACGGCTTCGCCGAGCGGGCGCGGCTCCGCCGCGCTTATCTTCTTCCACACATTTCAATACCACCTAGTATCCGGCTTTTCTTTTATTTGAACAGATGGTCAACATTTTTTGACCAATAGCATGTTCATATTCCACATTTTCAACACTATTACGGTGTATGGAATGGTAAGGAGCGAGTGGAGAGAAAGCCGGGTATTAGTCGAGCATTTGATCATGCGAATACAGGATTAGTCGAGCGTTTAGTCATGCGAATACAGGTAGGCGCGATGGAGCCACTCCCTGCAAGGCCCCGGTCACAGAGGAGGTCTGCAGTGCCAGGAGTGCTCTGGAACGCTGGAAGAATTTTTAGGACCAACCCCGCCCACCTAGACGCACGCCCCGCCCACAACGTATGCCTCGCGCTTCTCAACTGATAAGCCCCTCGCTGATCTTAAACTACTTTTTTCTCGGTGTCTGGAGTGCTCTGGAACCGTTTTGCGAACTTTTTTGATTTGGCTCCATCCACCTCGGCTCAGGCTCCGCCCACAACGGAAGTGCCTCGCAAATTCCTACATTCGATCACTTGCGGACCATAATCCACTCTCTGGCACCATCTGCAGTGTTTTAGGACCAAACTACGACTTTTTATACTGGTACCTCGTGCTCAAATGCACGCCCCGCCCACTGTGGGCGGGCCTCAGCACGCCGCAAACATGGTGGATCTTGCCAGACGTTCATCTTCGTCATGGACTTTTCTGCGACCTCTAAACCTTTTCGGGGAACCGAAGTACCGACCTTTGTGGGAAGCGCCGCCCATGTCAAGTACGCCCCGCCCATTTCGGGTGTGTCTCCTCCATTTGGTGTGCCAACCCATTGCTAACCTTATTCCACTTTTTCCCGTCTCCGAGCTGCTTTGTAGGTAAGTTATGGTATTCAGTGACAAGGGAAAGCGCCGCCCATCTCAAGCACGCCCCGCCCATTTCGGGTGTGTCTCCTCTGTTTGGTCGGTCAGCCCTTTGTTAACTTCACTGCACTGTTCCCTCATCTCGGGACTGCCCTGGACTTATGACCTTTTTCAGTGACATCGCTAACTTTCGACGCACGCCCAGCCCGCTGTGGGCGCGGCTTACCATAGGTCATGGGTGGCTTACCAGGTTTTATCCCCTGCTCTACTCATCCCTACACCATAAACCCCACCTCTCCAAGTTACTTCTTCACGTGCTATGAATTTCGTGCACGGACATAGCCGATTATAATTAGGATCGTGAAGTTGTCCAATACTGTTTTATTTATGACGAAAGGTGGTGCACCGGCAGCTGGCACACTTATCACACGTGCGGCCCGCTGGGTATCCCGCCCAGACAAAGTAAGCTTTCTACATCCGGCGACGTAAAGCACCTGGTTCGTCTGGGATGATAAAAAAGGACTCTCGCATTGGGTGACCCCCGCAAATTATTGTGTAGGCCACACGCGTTCAATAATCCAGCATTTTGAAAGTAACTAAAAAGTGGCAAATGTAAAAAAAACGCAAATGTGCCGCATCGCAAGAATGGAGTGATCATCAGTGGAGACTTCTTCCTTTTTTCTACTTCTATTGACGGGTCCAGGTGGGCTTCTTCCTCCTTGCACGTTTCAGGGACTAATGTAGACGTTGATGGCACACAGTCCTCAAGAATCAGTTTCAGTATGGTGCAAGTAGTAGTGATAACTGCTTGCAAATGGAGCCCGAACCCCGGTTTAGGTTGTTTTTCTAGTAGAATGCCCTGTTTCTTCCCCTCTAAGGAGAAACAAATGTTAAAAAAATTTAAAAAAAATTAGACACATTTCAAATAGAAGCATCATGAAAAGCTGATCAAGTCACCGAATAAACCTTAATGTAAATTCTAGTTATGGTCAGCATTGGGCGACTTGTACATACTATCAGCTGGGTTGGATTGGGATGACATTCGAAGCAGCACTTTCAGCGAGAAAGTCCAACCAGACGACAGCAAAATCCACTCACAAATACTCAAGGTACGGTTTGTTCTGTTGGTTTGTGAAAAAAAATCACCGAAAGAATGAAAGAGGGCGCGATTGCGTTAGTTAGTTGAGACTGGCGCTACACAAAAAAAAACTTGGAACAAGAGTTTTCACTCGTTTAATCCGTCTAAGGTCGAATCCCGGATTAACTCTCACCGGAGATCAAACCTGCGGGGCTGAGGTCTTGCTCCAAGACTCGTTTGGTAGAATACACTGAATTGTTCATCGGTTGACCCCCGCAAGTCACTGTACTTACCAAATCGCATTCAAAAGTCACCACCTTGGCGAGGTAATGGGCGGTCATGGGTTAATCACACTTTGCTCCTCACAGGCGGCGTCAGTCATCTTCAGTGTTTCGTTTTTTGTTTTTTTTTCCTTTTCCTGCTACGTCCTTCATCACACTCCGCAGCCTCTGTTCTTTCCAGAGCCTTAGAAGCTCTGAAATGGGATCTATATCAACGTTACGTCTAGCTACAACGTTACGAAATCCCTATCGCAGGATTTCTCACCCTTCTGTCCCAGCAGCTGACGTTACTCGACAACCCTATTTTTTGAATCGTTTTTACTGCTGACGTGCGTAATCTGCGTACTTAATCTGACAATGAGCAAGCAAAGTTTCTATATGAGCTTCAAAATAGTCTGATGAAGCTACCAAAAAGCGCATCACGTTAGCTCGTTCCAAGTTTTTTCCGCTACTGTACCATTGCAATGACGGGCGTCAATATCTTAAAGGTACGGTCCGCGATCAGGTATAGAAGTTGAAAATATGGCGTTGGGAGGGTAGTGTGGTCCGCGACGAACAACCTTGTACCGGTTTCGCGGCAAAAAATTGTAAGGGAGGGGCGCTATAGCGCAATAGGTTCAGTGACGCCTCCTTTTTCCAGTGACTCCGCCTCCAGACTCCGCCCTCAAGGCCCGCCTTTCAGTGAAAAACGAAGCTGCAGGACGAAAAAGCATGAAAATCGTCACTTGTACGGTCGTAGAGTTCTTATCGGGGAATCAGCTGTGCGGATGAGGGCATAGTGTTGAAGATGGAGTTAATTGGGCACGTACAAAGTGGAATCGGAATGGGGTTCTATTTAGGGCAGTTGGCATGTTTTTTTTTTGCTTTTTTTCTTCACTATCGAGTTACTCACAACCTTGTCGTCTATATGCGAACTCCTAATCCACTATCTGTGATGGCGAATGATCGCGGATTTTGCCTTCAAACCCTGCCCCTTGACACGGCACGGAGTCTGCAGCCAGACTGTAAGCGCTGTAAGCGCACGCACAACCGCATAGTCCTGCGTCACTTATAGGTCGTACTTAATCCTTCTATCACCACTTCCTCATAACTATCAACCTTAGGGTTTATGATTAAGAAACGGCAAGAAACATGTCTGTAAGTCCTTTGTGGTGAAGTGCACTGTTCTTCATCTTGCTTCTACGAAAGCAGTACAGTGGTCATTTTGTACGAAGCACGAGCCACTACGATTTCGAGAGGAAATAGAATGCATGCCGCATACTAAAAAGCATCCAAAGCGGGTAAGGCCATAACGTTCCAGCAAACCTGCTCGATTCCCTCTCGGGTGATTATCGCCATGAGTGATTTACACTGCTCTGGCAGCTACTTAGGCCCTTCATATTTGCCATGACTTGTAGACGGAGTATAATTTCTTCGGCTTTTTGGATTTCTGTTCTTGATTGGCCATGCCATGGGCATTGTTGGCCATGGGCGGCCAACAATGTCGCTATCCAGGTGCTGTTGAAGAAGGTTTCAGTGCTGACATGGCGCATGAAAAACCCGTGAATACAGCTGATTTCCAGCTGTAAAGCAGAGTGTTAGCATTTATAACGCAAACTGTTTCCGTTGGCGCTGAACTGATGATGAATTCATTCTCAGCATGGCGGTATCATGCTACTAACGTTAACAATACCTCAGGGTGCTGTTGGGCATGAAATCCAATGAATCTTCACGAGGCATGGAGAAAATGACAGGATTTGGCCGCCTGTGGATATGTCCAAAAATCCGGAAACCGAAAAGTAAGGTAGACCTCGTCAAGCTTACAAGAGCGACTTGTTTGACCAGAACAAATGAGAGTAAAAACCGTCACTTAAAGCCAAGCCAGTATTAACAGCTGGAATAGGTAGATAGTTGACGGCCACTTACCGCCTACGAGTCATTAATACTTTGACTGGATTTGTTGCTAACATTTGCATGTGGTAGCGGGCCTTCTCCGCTCCTACAGTGGAACCCTGGCTCCTGAGGAAGACGATCACATCTGAATATTAGGCCGGAAAATTGTGAATAAACTGTTCCACTTAGAAACCTCGACTGGCAAAACGTCTTTTGAATTAGCCCTTCAATTTCATCCTCTTGATTTGTTTCATCTTATCCAGGATCTCCATCGAACAGGCTGGAGTGGATTCGATGACGAGAAGAAGCTCAAGCAAGTGTTACTCGCGTACGCTAGGTAACTCTCCATTTCATCCTTTGTTGCCTTTACTCTCAAAAACTCTCGTATTTCTGCTGTGTCCAGCAATAAGAGCTGTTATCTAAGAAGCAAGCAAAGTGTCACTCATTGCTGTCGGTATGGCTTTTGAAAATGCCCTGGCTTTTTGAACTGTTATACAGTATTCAGCGCTGCAGCATGCGCGCTTGAAGTTGTCCAAAACACACCATTGGTTTGATCCCCATGTGAAAGCAATATGAAGCGCGACACGCTGAGCGCTAGAAGGGATTAATTTGAAATTGAAGTATTTTTGAACAAGCACATGTGACTGTTCCACACTGCCATCGATGCATTGTTGGAAGCTGTCATTGATTGCGAAGGGGGTATTTCAATAAGGCTGTTCGAAAAGGGTACTTCCACAATTTGTCCCGAGCAATGAAGAATTAGGCAACAGATGAATGCTACTAAGAAACCGAATGTTTTTCCTTCTTCTTCTTCTTCACACTGCAGGAGTGCTATGTTTACCTGCACCTAAGCAAAGCGTTGAAATATTCCACAGCACATAGCGGGCTTCGTCCGCTTTTCCGCTGGCCTATCTATCACACTTTGAATCATCTCACATGGAGAGGCGGGATCAAGTTGTGGGGGAAAGGGGGGAGCGGGGGGGAGGGGAGGAGTTGGGGGGGGGGGGGTACGCACGGAGCATATAGAGTTGATGTCGTCACAAGCAATCGGGGGCGTGTCAGAAGTGAATTAAGCCTCCCTATACGCCGCATTTTCTACCAGTGGTGATCAGTAAGTGTTCGTTGTAGTGGGCTCGTTCCATGCCTCCTGACAATGCCTCAATTGGTAGCGGTAAGATAATAAGGTCTGATCGCGGTGGACGGAGCGTACTTGTTCAAAAACGCTCCGTTTAGAGGAACCTATGAAGATATAAACTGTTTTGTGGGAAGTGTTGAGTGGTGCGCAACGAACAACCCCTGTGCTAAATTCGCGGCGGAAAAGTTAAGGCAAAGGACGTTACGGTGCAAAGTTGCTTCAGTGGTACCTCCCTTTTTCCAGTGACTCCGCCTCCAGAGTCCGCCTTGAAAGTCCGCCTGCAATGCAAGAAGCAATGCTGCCGGACAAGTAACGTGAAATGGATGCTATACTGTCTCTTATGGGGTCTTATGGTTTATTTTAGAGGACTCGTCCCAGCACAGGGTCCTTTAACCCTCACCCGTATAATCGTTGGAAGCTGGAGAGGAACGCACGAGTCTCTACATAGATAAATGCTCTTCCACATTCCAGCACCACTACCTACGCTCCCGATGGCGACAGTGGTTTTAAGTGAGCGCTGCCACTGACAATAATACGTAACTCGATTCAAACCAGCTTGGAGATTGGGGAAAATAAGTAATGGTTGCCAATGAGACGAGGGAGGAACACCACTGTGGATAGGCCGTACACTTGACAGGTGGTGCTTGTTATGAGGATTTCTGACTCAGCTCTGGAAATGTTGAAGCAGAATACTGTAGATGAGCTGAGCGCGCCTCAGATATGCAAAGAGCCTCGCAGTGATCAGAGCGTGCTCTCATTGAGAGCTAAGCGAGAAGTAGCACTTTTAACAAAGTTACCACCGGTGTAGCGGTTATAATGAGAGACACATCCCCGCAGCGTTTCTTGAAGTGCTACAAGAAGGAACTATCCTGCTAATTCCAGTCCTTCAGCAGCCATATGTGCGTATGTACATTGGCGGACGGCTGAGCGTGTAACGTAGGTAGCTGATATTTCCTGACGAGATCAGAGAGACTTATCTTGATTGGGGTACCCACTTCGCAGCACCGTGTGTTACTTTCACTCTATACTTAATCCCGAAGATTCGTGGTTCAAGGTTTAGCTCGACGGCTTTCGTTTCGTAATCTTCCGTCCCTTGAGGTTCAACAAGGCTATTGGATATTGTCAAGGTTTCAACGTCATCGCTGCTTCTAATCCTTCCAAGTGGTTGGAATATCGTACGGATGAAGCTCTGAAGGTATGATTTGCGCTAGATCATCTCTACATATTGAATCACTCCATCATTCACTTTATAGATCATGATCTTCCTTATTGAACACGTAATGCCTCAAGGTTTTTTCGATCATTCACTTGGAGCCCTTTCTGTGGATATGATCGTCATGAAGGATCTGATGCTTACAACGCTTACCGTCTACCATTCAGCATCTTGAAATGCTGCAGAGTTCTTCAGGTATCGAAGTAGAAGTGGAGTTACCACCTACTAGCCGTCACTCCATATAATGCAGCAATGTCTCGTATGAAGCACTTTAGTAGCACTGCACCTCTCAACAACCCCTCACTGAAAGACACGTTACGCTAACCTGCCAAGCTGGGCCTTTCCCATGTGCGAGTCGGCGGAATTTGCTGCTACAGAGGGGTACCGCTTGAGAGTGCCTGGCAGTAAAGCTGATGAATTGTGATTGCCTGATAAGCATGCATGCGCACTAGTACGCGACGTGCATGACATACGTTACGGCACGTTTTCAACAGGTCCGCTGACTTGGAAAGTGTGTCGAGTCAATCGTATTAGGTAGTTGCAAAAGAA